CCTGATAAATATTTCCCCTACAGCAAAAGGGGAGCCAGAACAGCTGTATCCAGCACCACATATGCCATGCCATAGGCAGGTATGATTCACTGCCAGTGAAGTTTCCTACCTCACAAGATTCAGTGTTCCAATGAAAAAAGCTGAGTCAAAACTGCCCAGAAGAGTCTCAAATGCATCAGAAAGGACCCAAGAAATGCACATGCATCAGCAAAAAGGACACAAGCAAGAGAAACATTTGCTGCTTGGCCAGGGGGCCACGGTACAACAGCAGAGATCACAACTGACAGGCCAGCTGCACAAAGACTGGAACAGAGCTTCCAGAAAGGATGCAGCAAGTCCCCCTGGCACAGGCAGGGTCCAGCAGCACCACCTCACAGCTGGCAGGAAGACCCCACGCCGATTCACAGAATCGTACCCACCGTACTCCTCCCCTGGCCCCTGCAAGGCTCAGCTGTCACCCGGCCTCCAGCTCAGGCTGTGCTCTCCCAACCCCAGCTACAACCCTCAGCCCAAGACCCACAGCCCCAGCCCAGCTCAGCCCCGACCCCTGCCTCTAGCCACACAGCTCAGCCAGATTTTAAAAAGAACTTTATTGAAGCTCCAATATATATTATTTTTGGCCTCTAAATACCCAAGTGTCAGCACCTACTCCTGGCTCTCCAGTGCTATTCTGCAACCCCCAGCACTGAATCTTTCAGTGCTAGATTTTCTGCTCAACTCCTACACAAGGAAGAAAAATTGTCAGATGCCTCAGGCATGGCTTTAGAAGAGTGACCACTAACGTGGCAGCTGAGTGCTGGAGGTGATGCTTAGTTGGTATCCATGCCGTCACACTCTTCCTGGGGAGGAGATGGGGCAGTATGTTCCTCATTGTTTCGGCGCTGATAAAAGAGCACATACGCAGCTTTTGTCTACCAAACAAAGAAGAAAAACCATGTGAAACAATCCATGCTGCTTGGCTGAGGAATATAATGCCCAAAACAAGGAACCACACTTTCAGCACAAACTCAGATTAGTCTCAGGCCAAATACTCACCACTATTTGGTCTTCTGAAGCCACGGATACACTGCTGTCATCGAAGTAGTACCACTTGTCATTCACTTTGTTCTTTGCGTAGGCAGTGTCTGTCAGAAGAAACTGCAGCTCAGTACTCCAGGGGAGAGGAGCAGGTAATGCTATGCCGGTCATGCTGCACTAGCGATGCTCAAGACTCAGAATGTGCATGGGAGGCCAGAAGCTAGCTTTGACATTAACTACCCCAAACCTAGGGCACCAACAGACGTATCTTCCAGAACACGCTAGCTAGTCCAGCTGGCCCAGAATCATGTTCCACACAGCAGACTTACCTCTGACAGCTGAGATATAGGGCAAAGAAACTTAGCAAAAAAAGCTACAGTGCTTTGTTCACCACCCCACCCAGAGCCAGAGCTTTCCCAGCCACATGGCTGAAGACTGCATTTTCACATGAGAGAGAACTTCTCTGTCAATGATGGATCTGACCTAGTGCTTGCAAGATTCCTCACTCAGGAAGGAAATTGGACTGAAGTCCTGCAAAGTCTCTTCTAACCAAGAATTCTGTGACTATAATCTCCAATCTCAAAACACATCCCCCCTTCAGCTAATGCTATCCTACAGTGACGTGCCCTACGCATTAAGCACACACACTGCCGCAGAGCTCATCATCCTCTTATAGTCACACATAACAAGTTTTTTGGTTTTTTTTAATCCTCACGGCCTGACATTTCCCTGCTACGTGAGCTCTTGTCAATGCCAAGATGGAGACATTCCATTGCAAGCTAGTGCCAGCTGTGCAACCAAAAGGTTGCCTGTATTTCCTTACACACAAAGGACACAGACGCAGTTACTCACAGTGGCCTACTCCCATGGCTCCATAGTGATTGGAAACTGCAATGAGGTCATACACGTATGAGCCTGCTCTTGGGTCACAGACGAACTCGGACATGTTTAAACCCCTGGAAGGAAATCCAAAAGTATCAGCACACCAGCAGCCAGGACTTTCTAGAAAACGATGCACGACACCAGTGAAGCTCTGCAGGAGGGCAACACTGGTGAAGAAGTGGTGCACTCTGCTGCTCATCGGCCAGATGTTACCAGTGAAACAGCCAGACGCATTACACCTCCCACACAGCACAGGTCCCGCTGAACACATCAAGGGCTATCAAAAGATTTAGAGGGAAGTGCTAAATAAAAGATAGTTCAGTGTCCCTCTGTAGCCATGAAAAGTGAAACGGAAGAAGAAAGGAATTCACTTCATTCTGCAGCAGGATGCTGTCAAGAAGAATAAGGCAGGCTTTCATCTCGTATTTCTGCAATCCTCAGGACTACAAGTGCAGCTCTGCCCAACAAATGTGCTAAATTCTCTCTAGGAGTTCTCTTAGTTCAGCAGAATCCTATGGTTTTAACCTAATTTCAGAAGAAACAGTACCTGCTAGTAATTAGTGTTGAGACATGTAGAATTAATAAAGGTTAACAAATGAAAAAAACCAACCCATGTCTGTTGTCTTGCAGCTCAAACCCAGAAGACAGAGCTGTTCCGGACAGAGCTTCAATAACAAGCCCACCCAAGAATAACGTCGGAAATAGATTTCTCCTGACCAGCCTCCTAAAGCTGTTCCAAGCTTGAGGGAAGAATCCTACCTGATAGGGAATTCCACAACAGTGTCAAGTTTATCCCTCCAGTATCTGCTGTATGAGAAGCGTTTTAAATGCACTACCAAAATCCTGGGCAAAGACCACAAGTCAAACTTCTTTGTGGCCTGTTGATGTTTCTTACAGTTAGGGCAGTACCTGAGGAAGGAGAAACAAAGAAGGAAACCAATGACCACATTAAAAAGAAAAGCTTCTGGCCTTCCACTGAAAGACGCCTCAATAGCACTGCACAGTCCCTGCCTTAAAGAAAGCATTTTGGCTGTGGAATACGCAGGTGAACATGCTTCCTCAGAGGTTTCCAAACAAACTTGCTCTCCCTTTATAGGCAAAATGTCTATGGTAAGTGTGTTATCTGAATATTATGCAAAAATTAATGTTTCTTTTGTAAATTAAAACAAAAGAAAAATGTTTAAAGGTCCGATTACTTTATTACCTCCTGATGCAGCTTAAACAGGTAGCAGTTGCAAACACATCTGTAGCATGTAATAAACAATCACTGCAAGTTATTTTCTCACACAGCTAGCAACCAACCTCTCAAGACCTTCTGCACACACAGCAATCACATTTTGGTCCCTTGAAATCTACTGTACCTAGCCTCTCTGGATTAGGGATTTTGGGTACAGGACTGAATCCTAAGATAGCTACACGTTTTCGCGCTTTATTACCAAAACTGCTTCCTCTGGCACTGTCTGGAAGACAGATATATGCCCCAAAATATAAACACAGCCTGATCTTTGGAAGATACGTGCCCAGTGTCACTTTTTTTTTTTTAACTAAATGCAAGGAACAAATATTTTTTATTAACTCATGTCTACAGCCTATCGAGTCAATGGCTTAGAGAAGAACTGACAGACTTCTCACAGACGAAGACAAAAGGACAGACCCAGGAAATTATCAGAATCCCATGACAAATAAAGCAAACTTGGGTAGTCACGATATTTTATGACAGACACGGCAGGCAGAGAGAGGCTCTTACCACGGGTCATGTTCACCAAGCGTTTCCATAGTAGTGAAGAGCTCTATGCAGTCTCTGAGGGCTACGACAGCCTTCTTCTTCTGTGGTTGTGCCATACTTCCATGTTTTTCAAACGCCTAGTGAAAGAGATGCACGCTTTAGTCAATTCCACATAGTGTTTAATTCCTGACATCACAAAAAGGAACATATGCTCACCCTCACCACGCTGCCCGTTTCTGCCCCTCTTCTCACCCAACCCACACAACCATCTCAAGCATCCAGCCATTCCTCTCCTGTGTTATGAACAATCCATATGAGAAAATATAGTATGTCCTCACTTCAAAGTTGGTAGGGGTTGGTTTTTTTTGCACGGAGACTAACAACAGGTTATTCTGTTACAAAACACAATGCAGCAGAACTCTCGGAGAAAGAATACTGAGCTTCCTACGAGGCTCTATGAATTTGGTTTCAGGTTTCTTTCGAATTTTGGGAATTTGTTTGTTGAGTGGACTATGAACTGGACTCCTTAGCTTTGAAACTGAAATATATACTTTGCAGAACACACTGGAAACATCAGCAATTATCTATCTATAGACCTTATCACTAAAAGATTAAGTAAACATCTCATGCCAGTGACTCTGATTTTCATGAAGGGAGCTATATCTACAAGATTACAGTAAATGGCACAATATAAGTACCATGCAAGTTTATGTACAGATTATTTATGCAAAGAGCATACTACAACCTGTGCCTCCTGTTCATCATAAAGCAGCCTCCGAGTATCAGAATCCCAATCAATAGCAAGTGCAGAAAAAGCTACAAGAAAAAAATAAACATTTATTGCCAAGGTATAAGGAGAAGGAAATAAAAAAAAGACAGCAAGACAGTAATTACCATTCAGTTTTAAGAGTTTTCCTTCTACAATGGAGTTTATCTCAGAGGTCCCAGAGGAATTCACAAGACTAAAAGTGAAATGCGGCTTTTTGCAAGGCTGCGGGTCTCTTGCTGACTCAATCTGCATACAACCCTCAGAGTGGCAGGGATCAACTTCTGCCACTTTTTCCTTGCCTTCCTGTCCACCATCCTGATGCTCCATCTCTTCAATGTCACCTGGTAAAATTTAAAACAAGCACAATATTAAAGAGCTTCAGCGCAGGTTTAAGCTGACATCTCACATGGACATGGACATCTCACTGTTAAGACACATGCTCATTACTCAGAAAGTAATAAAGACACAAAAAAACCCACCCCCAAAACCCTCTGTGCTTGCTAACCACTACATCTGAAGCTGAGTGTCTGAGCTGAGTGAATCTCAGGATGAATGCACACCACACCTTGTTCTCCTTCTGCTGCTCAGGCACATCTGATCTCTCTCAGAAGCAAAACGGTCTACAAGAATGCTCACTGTACCATGCAGGAGTCCTACACAACAGTGTGGTTTAATCACTGTGAAAAAATGATCTGCTATAGCTTAAGCCAAACAATCCACATGCTAATAGAAAGCTCTGAAGTGCTGACAAGCTTCCCGACAATTCTGAAAGGACTTTACCTTCAACCACACCATTGGAGCGACTGCAAGTTCCTTTGTCTGGGCAGGGTGAAGAGTACTCTTCCGCCAAAGGGAGTTTCACATAGCGGCTAAAGAGAGGGAATACGCTTATCACACAATCATAGTGAAGCTGTGCAAGAGCAGGATCCCTCTCCATCATCAATCCTTGCTGCCCAAACCCCCTCAGCAAACCACAACTCATCCCATCCAGCATCATTTACGGGGCAAGAGCTCTCCAAATGAGTTAAGCAACAATTCAGTAAGTCTCTGTTCTCACCGCCCCTTTCAAGTTTACTGGCAGTAGACGGAAAAGGCAAAAATAAATTATAGTGGCTCCATCTAAGCCATGGCGAGTTCTGCTCCTGACCCATTTTCCAACAACCAAGCAGCCCGCTTCCCTCGTAACTGCCACCAGCATTATCTTACAGCCTGCTTGTACAGAGCCCAAAAAACCAGGAGCCTGAAAAGTCCATGGGGCCTCCAGACACCAATGCAATGCAAATCCTGGTTTGCACACTACACACAGAACAAGGAATATTCTTCCCATTAACAAGGATGCAGTAATCCTACTACAGCATAACTGAGTAATTGACCACTAGAACTTTGTATAAGATTCAAAGGTACAGACATGACCTACCTGATCTGCTCCAAAATCACACTGTACAAGTGATCCACAGTGAGCTTGTGTTTCGGCACAGATATTAACAGAGGCTGACCAAAGAGCACGGTCCCTGAAGTATTGCTGGATTGTCTCATCGTCTTTTCCCGAAAGTAAACAGAGAGAGTAATGTACTCCGAGCCATCCTCACTTGGCTTGCAAACTTCATACCTGTTCAAAAGACAGGTATTTCCACGGGTTATTTCCACCGGCAAGCAGCACAGCAGGTAGAATCAATATGACCTCAGTCTAACAAGTCTCTCCACCAGGTCCTCCCAAGAAGGACAGAAAGGGTTGTACTCTGTCTTCATGCTAGAGAGCAATTTCCCCGAACACTTCCCATGGCTAACTATGGCCCAGGACTCCCACCAACTCGACTGCCACCTGTCTTTGTTCCTAATTCACATCCTTATTGCACTCGCCTCTCAAGACGTTACTCTGACAACTACATGTTGCTTCCATCAGATCGCAGTGTCAGTGAAAAATACTAAACGTACTTTGAAATCCCTCAGACAGCATTTGTTCCCTCTAGACAAAGAAACCTTCTTGATACTTTCGGTCTTGCATTCTCCCAGCCTCTCATACAGTTAATAGGCTGGGCTCACACCACTGAGCAGCCAGTGTTTCAGAAAATCGAGTTTGGAAACATTTGCTTCACGGAAAAATCCAAGGACAGCAAACTCACAAGAAAAACATTCTGGAAGAAACAAACAGCTCTGGAGAACAGTGAGGAGATCAAGACACAGCTTGTGCTTCTCAGATATTTGCAGATGTCAGAGTCAAGAGAAAACACATGGTCCGCGTTGTTAGTTTCCAGAGTATTTATTACAAAAGATTTTCATTTTCATGAATGCTAAGTCACAGTGCTCTTCAATGTGGCAAGTCCCTTGTCCCAGATTTATCTTAAAACTGAAAGAAAGACTCCACGAAAGATGTCACTAAGCATAACAACCGAGACCACAATCACTTATCTGAATGTACTAACTCTTAACAGCTCTCTGATAAGCCACTTCTCCCAAGAGCCAAGAAGCATTTTTTAACTCCTGTGTTCAAAATACCCATACAGAGCAGGGAGAAGAGCAAATTTCAGAGCTGTAGTTCTGCTCCATCCTACTTAAACAAAAACAGATCACAGCTTGGGGCTTACTATGAGTCAGCACACTGTATCAGGAAAAATATCCTTCCAGAGCATCCCAGCCCACCAGAAGTATCAGAGGTCAGAATTAGCATAAGACAGTCCAACGCGAAGAGCTGTTGAGGTTTTCTACGCTATCATGCAATTCAGCTGGACACCAGCAGCGCTGGATACAGTTCACATCTAAAGCTTCCTGAGAAACAGCACCACAAAGAAGCAAATTATTTCACTTTGCAATGTTTGTAACAAAAGATCACATCCAGTCCCAGAATACCATCTACGACTCACTCCAGGTTCTGAGACCCTTGAGCTGGACCCCTGAAAAACAGATCAGTATAACATGCACACACTCAACACCCTTGTGACAGCCTCTCACACCACCTACGCTGCATCCTGCAAGCAGCAACTACTGCAGCCCAATTTACACTCCATCCTCATGCACCTGAATGAAGCCCTGCCCATGCGACGGAACAGACTGGACAGAAAAAGCGAAGTATTACCCCAGCACAGGCGTCATCCATCACAAATCAGCAGCATGCTGTTCCCCTAAAGCACTCTGCAAAAGAGCATCTCGCATACTTCTCACCGAAACATAACAAATGCAGTTATTCAGGTGCTCCTCTACTTACTCCAGTTCAGAACAGCTTTTACATACTAGTATTAAAGACAGATATATCAGAATCAGGATCTGTTGTTCTCCAAATCTCTTGAGCAACAGCCATCTCTTCTCAAAAAAATAAAAAAAGGTATTTTATCTTAGATTTATTATCTGTAGTTTATGGGTTTAACAAAGGCTACACAGCTGATACTGGGATTACTGGACAATACACTACTTCTCTATCTTACAACTTAATTGAAATAATAGAACATAAAGATGGTGCGACACCAGACAACACGATGCGGTTTTAGAAGTCAAAATCATTAGCTCAGATGGTATCACACTGCTGGAAATTGGCTGGTTGCCTTTAGAAGTCATGACAACTCTGAAAAGTGTCTGAAAACCGCTAAGCGATAGGGGAGGACTTGAACAGTCTTCCTCAGCATTATAAAGGCTTCAGGTGTGTGGTGGCAATTCAGAAAGGAGGCAGTGAGCAATGAAGTAGGTAACTTCTGTTCTCTTGTAAATTCAAGTTAAGGAAGTGCATAGAAGCATGAAAAGCTACAGAAAGACACGGCAGAGCTACATGAAAGGGCACTGAAAGTAAAAAATACACTGAGCTCAACACCAGGCTAATGTATGTGGTATGTTATTGAAACATTCCCTCCCAAGTGCTGGCATCCATGACAGTGGTTTCCAGCTGGAATTAATATGTGGATCACAAGTCGGGCTATAGCAACAACCAAGAAGTGTATTTTGTTAGACAACAGAGAAGGGTAGAAAAAACTGCCACCGTAGAAGCTGTCACACAGGTCTGTCTGAACAGGATTACTACTGCACACCAGCCCAGAGCTGCTGCTGTGAAATTAGAATAGCTTCAAAAGCTAATAACAAGAATTTAAAAAGGTCTGGAAAAAAAAATGGGTGAAAATGCTGTACACATTCTGATCTCTTCTAGGAAGGGGAAATACTCCCAAGCTGTTTACTTTCTTTCATAATACCAGAACACACACAAACAAGTAAACTAGGAGACAAGAAACTGCAAATGCAACTTTTTCAGTCAACAGGTAGTTTGCCCTGTAGAATCTGGTCACAGGATTTTGCCAGTCTTACAGAGGAGCAAGATAAAGAAGGATGAGGGAATTCAACCAGCAACATTTTTTAAAAACTTAAAAAAAAAAAAGCTCATTTTGAAAAGGACACAAACCCTCATTTCATACAAGGAAAAAACAATTTCAGCAAGTGAGAACAAACTTTCTAGATCATTCTGCTACAAAATCTTGCCCATCTCAAACACTTCATATAAAAGTACTGGACTAGGCAGTTTGCTGGCCTAATTAACTCAGTTCAGTAATTGTTGCAGCCTCAGTCACATTAATAAATCTAACATTTCTGCAGCCAGTCGTGGTTTTTCAAGACCGTGAACTCACCTAAGCATAATACACAGCATGTTGTAAGAGAAGGCAGAAAGCATGGTACATATGGCAAACTGAATATCTTACTCAAGTACGCACACTTTTATAGGTTAAAGGTGACCTGCAAATCAATTTGTGAAACTTTTATCAACGTGAACAACTCGTATGGTATCATACGTCCCATTAGCCAGGCTAAGAGAACAGGGCTATCTAGCTTCTCCATCAAAAACGTTTTTCTTCTTAGGCCTGAAGAGCTAAGAAGAAATACGAAGAGCGATGCCCTTGAAACAGGTCGTGGAGTTCGTTTTCAAGTGGTACTTACCTGACCCCTTGTAGGCCGGCTCCAAGCTCCAGCAGGATCCCTGGGTGATGTGACATCACCAGCATGGTGCATGCGGGGGGTTACATTGGAGCGGGAGCCGGAGGGTCCTAGCGGGGCTGGACTTCATACAACCTAAGGAAAAGAAATAGCAAGCATTTCGGTGACGTGCCGAACGCTGCTCTCGGCTTAGCCTGGAGAATGAGAGCCTTCAGCACAACCACTGAACTAACGTTGTCACATTGATTTGCAGACCACCTTTACCTCGGTGACTTTCCTGAGCATTTGCCACAGGTGTCCCTGTCCTTTCACGGGAACAACATGCCTTGAAAGAAACATTTCCAACGCTGCAAGAAGCGGGCTAGTCCCACCGTTCTTTGGCTGCCCTGCTCCTACACATCGTGCCAGTGACCGCGCTTCAAGTCCTACATCAAACCCTTCTATTTCTGCAAGTATCACACCACTTCTCTGATATTAAGTATTAACACACCTTGCACCAGGACTACACTACATTTCCAAGCCTGTCATGATGAGAAAGAGACAGAGCACAAAGCCTTGCGTAAGAACGGGCTTGGAGAATTCTAGCCACACATTCTCCCCTTTCAAGTGATCTGGAAAAGAAAATGTATAGCTCTGTCCTTTTGTGTAAAAGGATACGGTTCATTTTGTGATGCATCTAAGAGTTACTTGAAGTCACTTAAATGTCAAGAAGCCCAGTAACATCCGTGTTTCTTCTTCTTCCAGTTTTACTATCAGAGACCACAACAGGTAAGGTAACACACCCTAAGAATCAATGAGCCAGAAACCAAGCAGCTGAAAGGGAAAAATATTTAGGTATCTTAGCCATCCAGGGCAATTTTTTTTTTTTCTTTTCCCAAACTTCTGTCCAGCTTAAATTCCAAATAGAATTCAATTCTCACCTCTTTCCTCCCTAAGATTCAGCATCTCCCACTTTAGTGGGACATAAAAATTCACAATGCATGTCTCAAGATGTCCAAGACACCCTGGAAAAATTACAGAAAGCTGAACATATCTTCCCTCATATCCCTACAGTGAAAAAAGGAAAAAAAAAATAGCTTTAACTACTGAAATCCCCTAGAACGTGCAAGCTCAATATTCTATACATCCCATGTATTGCACATTTCACAAGTACTCATCAACAGCACAGTCTGGACTACAACACCTGAGCCTGCAGACCATGTCTTCTGTCAGGCAAATTTAAGGAAAACAATAAACTAATGTAGCAAGAATGTGCTCCTACTGCAACGTGTTGTGTGAGTTCCTGCTCAGTCGCATTTACAACAAAAACATTTCATGGCAATTGATATTCTGCTCAGTAACCAACTAATACAGAGAATTAAACTGAAAACTGACTTAACAGACACTGGTGTTAAAAGCAAGGCAACAGTACCGAAGTACTGACTTATTTTGGTTTCTTTTGTCATGAGAAGCAAGTCCTTTCCTGTCACTTCACCACAGACTTGACCTTAATTTAAAACCAAAAGAACAAAACGCTTTTTAGTGGACACTCAAGTCTTCTTCATTGACTTGGGGAAACAAGATGTTTCTCAACTACATATTATTTCAATTGCATTTCAAGTGGAAGCAAATTTGTTCTTTAAACATGGAAGATTCTGAAAGACTTAACATTTTTTAAAAAATATTTTTTATTCCTTCATTTTAATAAACAGTGAGACACTTGCCTGTAATCTAAGAAGGTAAGAAAGCTGTTGGGAAAACATAAGGAAAACCTTTTTCACTGTGAGGGTGACAGAGCCCTGCACAGGGAGGTTGTGGAGTCTCTGGAGACATTCAAAGCCCGCCTGAACACGTTCCTGTGCAACCTGCTCTGGGTGATGCTGCTCTGGCAGGGCGGTTGGACTAGGTGATCTCTTCCAACCTCGAACATTCTGTGATATCAGAAACTCCCGAAGTTACCGGCAGCAGCAGCAGCAATGTGAGCATTCGACCACCAGGCTGCGACACTGCCCAGCCACCCAGCAGCCAGCCTCCTCCGGCAGCCCTGACCCCACACCTTACTGCGGGTTAGCTTCTGCCAGAAACGTACAGCCAGTTTCTCTTTCATCTGCCCCACTCTTGACCCGCTTCCACGCACACAGCAGGGCAGCCGATGGCAGAGTAACACGGCACGCCACACCAGACAAGGGCTGTTCTAGCACCGCCCTGCATCCTGACTCGGGTTTCTAGCTCCACAGTGACACCACCCAGCTAAGGTGCAGGAAGGAATGCAGTGTTACCCAACTGAGGATAAGCATACGCTATGTTTTCATGCCAAAAACCACCACGGAAATGTTAGGAACACTAAGCCAGTCAGGCTAGAAGGAACGAGTTAACCAGAGAACAGGAACACAGTGGGCAGCTCCTGCTCTGGTTTTGGAGGAGGGACGCACAAAGAACATGCGCACTGCAGTGCTCATGTCCAGTCCAAGGTTTAGCAGGGATGGGTGCAAACCGGGGCAGCATTTGCTTCTCATCTAACAGAGCAAGCAAGTGACCCAAGAGAAGTCCCAGCACTGAAGGAAAATGTACAAGGGCCAGCGTGACAGCTGAAAGTGCCAGGGTGAGGTTCGGTGCAGGAGTCCTCTCCAGCAGGTACAAAAGCATCCTTTCTGCCACAAGCCAAAGGCAGAGATGCAGCTCCATGGCTACAAGTACATTCCCCAAAGAAGAGAGGTTCTGAAGCCAGCAGAACAAAAATATTCACATTACTTTGGAAGTTATGCACTTTTTAAGCAGTGATGTATCCAGTCCAAAGAGACAATATTGCCCCTCCAAAAGCAACTCAGATAATCTTAGAAAGCCTGAAACAACACTCAGACAAGACAGTTTCAACTTACTGAAGAGTATTAACTCACAGAGTTCTCAAGAATTCCTCAGGCCATGGGCTAAATATGAAGAAAAATTAAAAATATTTAATGCAAGAAAAAACTAAATATCATAATTTCTTAGAAAGATACTAGAAAAACATAGAGTAACAAAGAAAAAAAAATCTTCAGCATAGCCTTAACATTCTCAGTTTGCAAGAGCCCAATGAACCAAAAACCTAACACAGCTAGTCTTAAATCCAATCAAGTCCTTCCAGTGACAATTTTCACAGCTTCTGTCAGTACCAGTACCCTCTCACAGCCTGATCACCTCAGGCTCTACAAGAAACAAGGAAAGGGCAAAAATTCCTGAAGAATCACTCAAATCTGCAGAAATTCCAGGTTGAAGACCCACTCTTATCATTCCCCTTTTGTACTGATCTTAACACAAAACTGATGTACTGCCAATCTCTCCTTTCACACCTGCTCCAGCAGACACAAGACCTTAACAAATGGAAACAGCGTGGAATTCAAGAACCTTCAGCTACTACTACAATCTCTTGAATGATTTAATTAAATCTTAGAACACCTAAGAGCAGGCTTTTTATAACAGACAAGGCAAGCAGATTGCGCATAATAAAAATAATTGCGCACTTGCCTTTAAATAAAAAGTTTTACTCTTTATGAACAAGTGTTTCTGTTAAATTTTTGAGACAAGACTCCCTTTCAATAAGAGAGTTGGTTTTTTTGCTGTAGGTTACAGTATTACTTTACATATCTTTTTCCTGGCAGCATCACCCATTAACGGGAGTTCCTATGAGCAGCTTTCTCCTAATTCTTACTCTGGTGCCTGGCTGCTTGCTCTTGCCCCACAGCACTGAAAACATCTTAGAAGGCTTATATGGAAAAACAGGATTAGCTAAACTTCCTCCTGCTACCTCTCCTCTTCCTTGAAGGGTTATTTTTAACCCCAGTCAGTTCACTCACTGTGACTATGACTCACAGCATCACCTCATTTACAGCTGCACCTGCACATAAAAGGAACTGGTGACTGCAAAGGAAAATACTCAGCTAATGCTTCCCCCCAGCCCAGAGCAGAGCAAACTGGAACAGTTGTTTTCTGGGGAGGGATATGCAACGTTATGCCTGCAGGAAAGGGGAGTTTTCTTCTAATCACCACTGTAGTATCACGCTTCTTGTCTTTCCAATGTTTTAGTCGCTCTGGAGACAGGCTTACTTGCAATCTAACACTTTACAACATCCTCACAAAACAGATTTCACAGATGCCAAACATACTTTCCTGGCATCCCAACCGGCCACACTTTCAGCTGCAATAGAATATAATTGACAGGAACCTTCAGAAAAACGCAGCCACTCCACCTCAGCAGTGAGGGCAGGACAGACGGCAGGACAGGTGAGCGCCAAGCAGCACGGCGCAGCACCCCACTCAGTGAAAAGCACCCGCTGCGCCAGAGTACATTAGTGCAGGACTTCACACTGGCACAACAATTTTATGGAAGCAACCTCCTTGCACTGGAACATCGTCACACGAGGAAGACTCGACTTGTGATGAAGGGCGGGATTTGACCTCACAAGCACCAGGCTCGACTGTGAGCCTCCAAGTCCATTTTGCACTTCACACGTGATAGTTCTTTTCCAGCTGCAACAGACAAACACTGCTTTCGGTCTCCTCACTAGATTTTGCAGACAACTGCAGATACCTCATCCACTGCAAGTACGAAAAACATCAAGCACAACCAAATCCTGAGCTTCGCTCAAGCCCCTCACAACCACAGCGAAGACATAAATAGTGTGAGCACCAAGAGTCTATCAAGAACCTCCAGCCGCGGTTAGCTGGGTGCTGTAACAACTACATTGGGTGTCAGGAGAAGCAGAGCACAACAGCTTAGACTTCATGCTGTCCTAGTAACAGCTCCAAGGCTTTTGGCTGGTTTAGAACACAAGAACAGTAAGCTCGAGCTTAACTAAAACTGCCAGTGAAAGTGTAACTGGTAATCCGTAGACAGATTATCATCTCTGAAATAGGCGTGCAGAAAATTCCAAACTGCAGAACAGAGACCAAACAAAATTCATTATTACAAAAAGCCGCAATTTCTTTTGTGTTAGGGAAACACCTACTAAATACTGCAAATGCCAATCTGCTGCTAGGAGAAGTACTGCATTACTGCTAAGACATGCAAAAGATCTATAGGAAGGCTTAGCTTTTGAGATGGGAAAATAAAAAAATAACTTTTTATATCCTGAAACCAAAGCAAATGTTCTGTAGCATTCTTCACACCATGGCATCTTCCCACTTTACTCACACAAAGATGTCGTCCTTTGGCATGATATGATTTAAACCTTCATCCATTTGGAAAATTTTGTGGAATCGATGATTATATACGTCTGTCACCACCATCTAGAATAGCAAGTGATATTTGCAAAGAAATTATAACAGAGGCTTACATAAATTTAGGGAAACTAACTTTAAATTCAAGTAATAATTTACTTCTACTCTTTATTACAATCTTCAGCACATCAACATCAATGCGGTTTTCTATCACAACATCCATTAGCTATCAGCTGTATTTAAGATGGATCAGAAAAATAAAATAAATAAAAGACTGATTTTACAGAGGTACTAAGGAGATGCAATTCCAACAGCTGCAAGTCAGCCTGGTGGAAACACCACCACAGATCCCAACATCAAAGTGGCAACAGGTGAAGATTTCAGGCACAGATCACTTGTGTCTACAATTAACTGAAATAAATCGAAACTCTATACTGGCATCCTGAAAATATCCCACCAAGTACAAAACCATTCCCTCTGGAAAAGCTCACTCGATCCCTTTGTAATTAAAAGGATGTCCAAGAAGAGGTGGACCCAAAAAAAAGACACTGAACATCCCTCAGTAGTAAGAGGGTGTTGGGGGTGGGGGCTAGCTTTCTGCCTCTTCTCTTAATCTTCTCTACTGTAACAGAAGCATCGGAGTAGATAATTTCATACACCTTTTTCTTTTACAAAGAACAGCATTCAAACTTGTTAGGGTTTTGTCATTATTCTATTAAGTTCAGCTTAACATTCATCTAAAAGCTAAAGCACCAAAACACTTCAAGAAGAACAAACATCAAAATTACTGTGCTGCATTTATCCTTACATTTTCTGCAGAAACACCAGAGAGTCTGGACAGTGATTCACACAGATCTGAGATGGCCCCCATCATCGGCACCACAACCCGGTACTAGAAACAAAGATAACATCACGCTTACACCAGGCAAAAATAAACCCACACAAGGCAGAGCACAAGAAAATGAAAACAAAACGTGAATTTATACGAGCTCTGCTGAAGTTAAAGTCACAGTCACACACTTTAAACGTCTTCTGGATCTCAGCTCCCATTTACAGAGCACGGAGTTGGAGGGAAAGATCCTTAAGCAGCTGGTCTCCTGCCTTGGTCAGGCTCAGCAGTAGTAAAACACACACACCCTCAAACAAACAAACCCTCCTGAGCAGATCACATCACTTCAACCTTCATTTGACGGGCAGTGTCAGCGGTACAGGCTGTAGTTTTCTTATTCAAGAGTTCTGCTCTGAACACACCCTCATACTGAACCAAATGCCCAGAGCTCTCTCTGAAAAGGACGCACCATGTACCACACTGCACCAGGGCCAGGAGCTACTTTCCTTGTAGCAGCCTGTACAGTGTCACATTTTGAATTTGGGGCTAAAGTAGCATCAATACCACAGCGATGTTTTAGCTGTTGCTGAGCCGTACTTCTGCAGTGTCAAGGCGTTCTCTTTGTCCCTGCTCTGCCCTCTCAGCAGGTAGGCTGGGGGTGGGCAAGAACTTGAGAGCAGACACAACCAGGACGGCTGTCCTGAACTGCCCAAAGGGTTATTGCATACTCTGCAGCGTGATACTTGGCAATAGACGTTGTAGTAGAGAAAGAGCAGTGGGTTTGGCTTCATAGGTTATTGCTCACAGACTGGTTGGGGACTGGTCTGCTCAGGGAGGTGGAAAGTGATTTCCTTTGCATCATTTGTCATTGTCCCCACCTCCCCACTATTCCTTCACTTGTTGAAGCATCTTTATCTCAACTCATGGGTTTTCTTGCTTTTGTTCTTTCTCTTCTCTCCCTATTTCCACTGGTGAGAGGGTGCGGGGGAGTGAGCAAGAGGCTGTGTGGGTGCTTGGCTGATGGCCTGGGTCAATGCCCCACTTACATTAAGCTACAAAAAGGGACACAGACAAGAAATCTTTCACTCTCTAAAGCAGAAATATCTTTTAAGTCATTGTGAATGCTCCATCTCAGATGTTAAACATCTGGTAATCCACTGATGTCACTTTCAGTGCTCTGAACACTTCTGTGGAGACAGATCTGTGAGTCTGGAACGTGGCTAAGTGAGGTTCTGCAAGCAGGAACGTGCATGGGTGCAAGGAGACAGAACACAAGCATCTAAAGTTTGGTTTAACCTAGCATCCTCCCTCCATCAAGAAGCCAATACCACGTTTTAAAGGATTCAAAGGCACTGTGGCATAGATAAGCACACACTCAAGAGAGAATTATCTGCCCACCTGCCTTGCATGTTCCTAAACTCCTGAGCGAACTTACTTATCAGTATTCACCACAACCCTCTCAGTTACATTATCTGCCTGCATATTCCACTGTGGACATCACAGGCTTTCAGTTCACATTCTCTTGGCACAACCCACATGGCAGAGACACAAATCCTCCCTGCATCACACACCGGAGGGCAGTAGTGCTGCACACCTTTGGCTTCACAACCGGGAGAGCACAAACTGCAAAGAATTGCTCACTAGGAGACTGAGGGGAGACGCACAATATACACATGGCCAACTAATTTAAAAGAGCTCCAGGTAGGAGTTCTGTTAATCTTGATTTTTCAAAGTACAAGTATTTATCCTTTCAGTCCTTATGCTACTGGTAATCTTGGTTTTTTAGTCAATGAATCCCTTCTCTGCTCTTGCCCTTTATAAAGTTTTGATGACAAGACCAAGTGCAGCTGTCCTTGATTTCACAGTTGTACAAAAAATAGGATGAAAATTTACTGACAGCTCAGCTTAAGTCTCCACTGTACCTGCCACCTCCTCCAACTAACAGTGCACACATAAACCAAAAGTTTTACTGCAGTTACAACCCACAGTACATGCAAATATTGCCAATCAGTGTATTCCAAACGGCTCTGCTCTTTCCTTTGGTAAATGCCCATTTGCCACCAGGGCATCTGGTCCCTCTGCCCAGGCCTCACAATCTTGTGTTTTTACATGGATGGCAGGCACAAGGTTACTTTACGTATGTGTGTGCCCACCCACAGCTCTATGGAGGGGGTGGAAATAATTAACTAAAAAAAAAAATAAAAAAATCAGTCTACCATAGAATCAAACAGGCTTTAAAAACAATCAAGTAATTATTATTTTTTTTTCCCTAAGAGGGATTGTTGTTCATTTCTATGAAATTCAGAGACCTTACCCATTCAGATAAGCTCTATCTTTCTATTTTCCAAGGTAACACAAGGTAATCATGCCCATGTAAACACATTACTCCTTTCAGGGAGCAACAGATCACATGCATGTAATCTCTTCACAGGAACAGGTAAGTCACTTCCCGCTGGCCCATGACACTAATCTCACCAACTGTGATTTTACAAGACCACTTGGTTTCACGTATTCCACTTCCAGCTTCTATATTAAAAAATAAATCCACCTCAAAGATGGACATCAACGTCCTTTAGATTATACGAAGTCAACTTCAAAACCTAAAGAAAGACTCAGATGAGAAAGAAATTTATCTTCAACATGCCTCACCTGCACAGGTCTGCGCTGTGGGTCTGCATACACCAGCGTAACTTCCATGAGTCGATCTCTCCTCAAGGGCAGTGGAAGGGTTAAATAACAGAAGGGATCAAATGTCACAGAAACTTTGGAGCATTTGGGACAAACAAGGGTAGATTTGAAAAGACCGTGAAAAATATCCACAATGATAGAATCATTCCTCAGCCTATGATTCTCCCAGGCCTCCTTTGCCACCTCCTATAAAAAGAAAAGAAAAATAATGAGAAAAAAAAAAAGTTATTTCCCACAAACACTTCCATCGCATGGCAAGCACAGGGATCAGAGAAAATTCTGAAAATCAATACTAATGGGTAAATTTCATAGGAAGGGGAGAGTCTACCAGTGTGTCCAGCATAACACATTGGGAAGCTAATCCATGAAGCTAAGGCTTGTGTCAAGTCAAGTATAACCCATCTATTCTAGCCGAGTCACGTGGTCAGGTATTCCTTTGTGCACACAATGCCAGAAGCATGAACGGAGCCGAGGGGACAGTGACAGGGCTACGCGCTGCTCTTCAGGACAGAAAGCTGCTGCCAAGATCGGCTCCTCTCTCCTCCATGAGGAATGGACTGCTGCCCTCTGCTTTGGAAAGACAACTGCAGTTACAGCTTCCCAGAAAAAAGCAGAGTTTTTTCTTCTTGGAAAATGATGGTCCATGTATAACAGGAGACAAATCACAGTCCCTTGAGGGCTTTCACAACACAACTGATGAACTCCTTACCTAAGGGCACCTGATAGCTGGCATTTGTCTAGTCAATGCAATCAGAGGTTCCTCCTAGCATGAGACTTGCAGTTTATAAGTGCCATAAATGTACACACACTACAATGCTACTGCCCGTGACCAGGATGCCGAGATGGGAACAGAGTAATAAGCTCAAACAACTGCAGTGATACGGATGCAAGGCAGAAACACATGTGCATCACCTGCATCAAGGGGAGAGAAGTACCTAAACAAAATGAAGACATGCTGGGCATCCTTTCCATCCCACAATCACAAGCTCTTCTTGGAGAGAAAAGAAGATTAAAGATACTACTTCTTGTGGTGTTGCTACATGCATTGTATTATGCAAGAAAATGCAGAAGACATGAAATTATTAGTCGTTAAGAGGGAAAAATGGCTGTCATGTACACTTCCTAAAAGTAATTATTGCATCCGGCTTTTACAGGCTCCTAAAGCATTTTTCCACCTAATGTATTTACTTTGGGCTCTGCATTTGTCAGTATGTTGAAGCTGTTTGTACTGCGACATGAGGCAAAAGCCTGATCAGGAGAGTGTGTGTTCACTTAGGAAAAGGCATTTTACTATTATGAGTCTCATTTTAGTGAGAGCACAGCGTTTGCCAACTTCAGAATACCAAAGAAGTGTCTGCAAGGGGCCCATGTATCAGTGTTGACTGGGAAAAGGAGGATAGAAAAAAGGCAGGAAGGAAAACTGAAGAGAATAGACTTCTGGCCTCTGCCAAGAAAATAGCACAAGAGCATTACTCTATTCAGTTGAAGTGGATAACTATAGTTCAAGCATGTTTAAATTCAAATTTAAATTAAACAATGGAGAGTTGGTTTAGAATCAGCATATCCATTTTTAGGGCACCAGAGGAGAAAAATCAAGCTAGGCCTCTTAAGGAGATGAAGGAAGTTCACCAACACTAGGAATTAATCAAGATCCATGGTCATACCAAGCCATTCATACCTTGATTCTCTCCTTGTCTTGACCAGCACTTTCATTCATCCTATTCAGCCTAGCTTTTTTTACATCTAGCTCCCAGATGATGCTTGTCTAGAGGCTAAGAGGGAGCACACATAAGTCTGGCCTAAAAGCTACTTCCACTTGACACTCTGCTGTCTACCACCGGGACGCCAGAATGGCTGCTTACAACACTGTGCCCAGGGCATGTGTTCAGACCCTTATTTGGGGGGCTCCCCAGCACCTCCACATGAGAATGCTCCCAGTCCCTCTCAAGTCCCCATGCAAGTATGATGGCCTGCACAGCAAGCACTATCCTCAAACTGCTGCTAAAAGCTGCTGCTCAGTCTGTCTGGAGGAAGAAGGCAGACCTGAGTAGTCAGGAGCAGAGGTTATGGCAGTAGCTACAGCCTACTTTTACACAGCCGTTATGTCACAAGATCAACTTCCTTCCCTTCCACTGCGGAGCCACGTCAGTATCGTGCCATAAGCCCATCTTCCCGCAGGCCAGTACAGGAACAGACGTTCTGCCATAAGGCAGAGCAGCAGCAACATGCCACAACACGTCAGAAGTCAGCCAGGACACAAAGCACGAGAGAGCTCTGCCTTCCCAGGGACACCGCTTTGCAGGGGGGATGTTTGTGCTGCTGGAATGCCCCAAACTGTCACAAAAACAATTAAACCCCCTCAGAAGCACCACTGTCCCTAGGCTCAGGTAAAGGCACTGTACCGAATCAGGTCTGCCATTGGCGTCCTTCAGCTCCAAGTAGGGCTTCTTCTTCACTCTGTTCAAATCCTCATGCAAACCATCTAGAAGAAAAGCCAAGAGCTCCTGCGAATCTTGCTGCTGGTATCCTGAAAACTGAGGAGCAAATCGGCCAACCTGCGTCTGAAACACAACGGCAAGAGTCAGCAGGGGGGTAAGCATTGCCCACGTGTAAAAGACAGGAATAGAAACGCTCGCATCCCGGCTTTTCAGAGACCAGCTCCACTCTACCTTAAGTTAGCTGTAGCCCACATTGGACTGGATGCTAACACAGTAAGGGTGCCAGAAGACTTTTTGCCCAACTACTTTTATTTTTATCCCCCTAGTGTCGAGAGGGAAGACTGCATTTAGTGCTGTGACACTAGAAATCGAAGTTATCAATATTAATTCAAGAACTTGCAAATAACTAGTAACAAAAAAAATCCATCTGCATGGTACACTTTGCACTTTAATTTCTCTTTCAGAAACCTACAGTTCCCACAAGGCAGACTTACTATAAGGTAGCATCTCGAAGCAGGTGGACTGCAAGACTGAAAATGCTTGCAGAAGATACTTAGGAACTAACAAAACTGGCTTAAAACTAGGATTGGAATCCTCACCACAGTAATCTCTAAAACTTGTGAAATGAAGCTAAGAAACCTTACAGCTTGAGTTGGTGTGAGCCAGAAACAGCACACACATATAGAGGCTCTTACTTCGTAAGTGCTATCTCACAACACTGCCATTTAGCGTTTCTGCTTCTAAAAAGTAAAAATAAAAAAGGAGGGGTCCCACAGGAAAAACGACAATTAGCTGCAAGAGTGGTCAGTCCCAGTGACCATCACTAGTTTTCTCATAAACGCAGAAAGTCCAACTGACTTGCAGAAATTATGTTTAGTACCTTTTAGCCACTCAAAACAACTGCAAGGGAGCCCAAACTGAAGGGCTGTTTATATTATAGTTAACACTGTCACTAAATTAGCAACAATTGTTAGAAAAATTGCAAGGGATACTGTACTAGGAAATAAAAAGAGTAATTCCTCTTCCAGTTTTAAACAAGAACAGCCCATATTAAGACACTCCTTTTGATGTCCACTACAGCTTCATCTATTTCCTCTGAACACAAGTTTACAACATCTTGTTTCAGAACCACCTACGACTCTACAGAGGACAGATTTTTGTAGTCCACAAGACTTCTGCTCCGCATCTCAAAAGCATTCACCCTCAACTTCAAGACTGTACCAAGCAAAATCTAAACAGCAACAGGATGCACATTTAAATTAGTATCAGGTCATTGTTTATTTCATGCATTCGGGATGTTATTCTTCCTCGGCATACTCAAAGTGCCCTAGAGAAGCAAACTCTTAGTGTTCCTTGGATGACATAGTTATAATTTTTCACACGACCTTGCCTAGTTTTGTACTAAATATAATTTTGATGCATCTGTAAACAGCTCTCAGGCTAGAAGATCAGTTACTAAGTAAGGCCCTTAACATCAGAGAACAACCACCAATTCCAGGGTATGACACTACTCACTGGCAAGCTCTCCTCTGTACCCTGAAAAGCATTTACATAAAAATATAAAATGATACTGAAGCAACTCCATCATTATTGCTTTCACAACACCAAAACATGTGGAAAGGCTTACTAGTTTTCACTGTCTCTTCTGTTAAAGAGTCATGCTACGAGAACACGGAGTACTTACTTTAAACATACGTGGGGCCACATAAGACTGTCTCCCAGACCAAATCTGTTTAATGAGCTCTGCATAGGCTTCTGCGATTTCTCCTCTCATCCCCAGCGGATTGTTCTGATTTATTTCGGCTTCATACTTATCTTCCAGGAAATAGTCAGTCAGAGGAGGGGTATTGCTCAGACACTGAAAAAGCATTAAGAAAATCAATGCACAGGACAATCTATCTATGCAACAATGAAGTAATAAACTCAACTTTCACATCTGAGCATGTACTAAGCTATTAACAAAACTGGAGAGACTGCATTTGAGTGCATATCTAGTAAAAAAAAAAAAAAAGGCAAAAAAAGCAGAGTCTCTCAGTGTATTGCTGAAGCCTGACACAAAATCAAGCTTGCAAGTGTCAGAAGAGTAAAGTTTGCAATCAGTCCTGTCAATACTCATCAAATACTGAAATTAAGGCACATTAATCTGTTTTACCACATACTACTGAGGTGGCAGGGTACGCTACCTTACTGATACATTGCATAGAAATCTGGAAAGAACAGGTATCACAGTATGACAGTATGCTAGGGATTGGAAGGGACCTCAAAAGATCATCTAGTCCAATCCTCCTGCCAGGGCAGGATCACCCAGATGATGTTACACAGGAAGGTGTCCAGGAGGGTTTTGAATGTCTGCAGAGAAGGAGACTCCACAACCTCCCTGGGCAGCCTGTGCCAGGGCTCTGTCACCCTCACTGAGAAGAAGTTTCTTCTCAAATTTAAGTGGAACCTCTTGTGTTCCAGCTTGATTCCATTACCCCTTGTCCTATCATTGTTTGCCACCAAGAAAAGCCTGGCTCCATCCTCGTGACACTCCCCATTTATATATTTATAAACACTAATAAGGTCACCCCTTAGTCTCCTCTTCTCCAGACTAAAGAGACCCAGCGCCCTCAGTCTTTCCTCATAAGGGAGATGCTCCACTCCCTTCATCAGGCAGGTCTTTAGAGACCTTCAAGTCTATGTCCCATACCCACTCTCAAACCTCAAAATCTGCATATAAGCAACAGTGAGAATAAGAGAGGTCCTTGTTCATATTTGAGGTAAAACATAAGCTATACTTTGTCCTGCAAAGAGCCACACACCATTAAAGAATTCCCCATCAAAAAGTCTGCAAAGTTTAAAGGCAGGAAGGATATTACCACATACACTGATAATAAATATGTAAATAGGAGAGTAGGTATCATGGTAATGATTTAATGCATCCTGGGGAACCACTGTAAACCTCAGGAGAGGAAGTAGTTTCCCTAATTCAAAAGAAAAACCATCCAACTCTGCTTACAGCAAGAAGTGACACTTGGACACAACAAGACATGAACATGTGAACAAACGAGTCCTAAATCTGAGATTATGATCAAAGCTGCTAGGACATCAAGGCACTATAGTAACAATAAAATATTAAACTGGGCTCTTTCTGAATGCCTGACACCTCGGGACCCAGAGCAGATGCCTGAACAGACCTTCACCAGCTAGGCGTAGGGACACAGATCTCCCAGCACAGTCCTACGGGGCAATCTGGAGAGAGGCAGGGAGGTGTAGTCCTGCCCTTCAGCCAACTCCACTTCCACTGCCTTGGCATGGAACCTGGTGGAATTTATTTCCTATCAAGTTGTTTCAGGTCCAATGCCTAGGTGCTCGTGTATTTCTCCAGGCAAATGACACTGAAGTGCTACTATTTGACACTAGCTTCTCAATGGGAGACTGTTGCCGACAAAATTCCAAGAATTTTGAAAAATTAAAAGTAGAAATTGCATTTGAAAGATCTAATAGTAAAAACAAGAAAGAAAGCAGTTGGTCCTTAATGCAACTAGTTTGCATGCTAAATTAAGAATGAAGTGTTCTTGTATGAAGTTACTTTGACAATAAAGATGATTTTTGGAAGCTGTCTCTTAGCTGTAAAGGTTTTAAGTTACCATGATACAAATGAAAATAACGTCAAATACAAAAAGCAAGGCAGTCCAAGTTTATTGTGGTTTCCTGAATACCACATGCATAATGCATTATGGTTATTTTAAGACCTGTTCTAGTTTTCAAAGCTACCACAGAGTGACAGAAGTCATTACACAGCACTTCTACCACACTAGAAGTATTCCCATTGCTTAAATCAAAGTTCAAATAAGTTGACTCATATTTTAATTCCTTAGCAAACAAGTTTCTGCATTTTCAAAAATGAAGTAAGAAAAATCAGAAGATTAACTTAAACAAGTATACTAATAATTATTAGCTTTGCACAACCATTACAGCCTTAACACCCCCACAATGACCCTGAACCCTTCCCATAATTTTCCATACTCTTACTTTTTCAAGAATCTTTAAACACAGACCCCACAGCTGTATGTAGTGACTTGCTACGGCACTTATGTGGCCCACATGTCAAAACATCCTCCAGGTCAGCTCATTTTTGTCAGAGCACAGCACTGGGACCTTACCTTACAGTTAGGCATCTGTTTAGTACAACTTACCCACAGCCTTTTCAGAAGCCACGTATTTCAGATCCAGTCCTTTACAGTGTCATAGTAGAGAAGCTAAATATTAACTGATTTTTTTTGTTTGGTTTTGGGTTGGTTTTGATTGTTTGTTTGTTTGTTTTTTCCCATTCCAGGTACAGGTGGTCATTGAATCACATTACAGTATCCTTTCCTTTTCACATATTTTAATCCACAACCTCTGTGAGACTGCTCTTCTACTTCATTCTAAAGATGACTCTCTCCAATTCTTACCTGTAATGCAGAATTCATGAAGCAGGTATTTCCAAGGTTACTGAGTCCACAGAGTCCAGGTTGTGACAGGGAAGCATTGTCCCTGCAGCTGTAAGAGTTACAGACAAATCCAGATCCTCTGGAAGAAAGACAACACAGCGACCTCCCCCATGAGTTTATCAAGTCTCAATACTGTTTAAAAGTCAGATGAAGCACGAGCCAAAAAACTGTTTAATGAAATTGTTTAACCAGCCTATGTTTCTGCAGCTTCATAGTGGCTAATATTGAATACCAGAAACGTGTTAATTTTGGAAACATTAATTGTTACACAGTCTATTAATCTATGGCTCAGAACACAGTCATTTCCTCAGTCACACTACCCTAATGCAGCAAGAGCCTACATGAGTCTACACGACACACTGTAATAGCTAATAAGAAAGCTACGATCTCTACCTGGAAAGGCTTCTACCACAATGGCAGATGGAGAAAAGAATATAATCCTTTCCCTCATATTCCAAATCCCCTCAAAATCAGGCAACGCCTTAGTAGTTAGTAAGCTCTGGAACATGCACTACTTTGGCAAGTGAGCAAGAAATGACAGAATGCAGTGGTTTTAAAAGCAAAGTTTGATAAAACAGTACACAAGAGTTGCAGAACTCCTCATAGGGTGCCACCATACTCCTTTTCTATACAGGCAAGGATGCACGGGATTATTCACATGAAGGACAAAGAAACAAAAAGAACATTCCTGCTCTTACCCCCTGCCCAGGTGGGAGCTGTTCAATCCATAGGAGTTACTGCTATCACCGTTAGTAATGACAGAAGTGGCAGACACTGAGGAATAAGAACTTGCTGATGATTTTGAAGAGGTAGTAAAGTTTCTGCTAGTTGCAGTGCTTGATCTGGGAGAAAGGAAAAAAGTAGAAACAGTGCTACTACTTTTGTCACCGCCAAACCCACCTCCCACAAAACTGTAACGACTTGTCACATTACAGTTAGTTCCCACACATAGAATTTACTGTTTTGATGCGTGTCATCACACTTCCAAACATTTGTCTGGAACAGAAACCTCAGACAAAAGTATCAGAAGCAGGAGTAGTAATTTGAGCTTAAAGCAAAACCTGGGTCCCAGACTGAAATAAGTGGGCAATTAGGATGCCATGAGTGACAGGGAAGTAAGCTTTAACTTTATCAGTAAACCACCCTGAAACAAGCAAGCAAAAAACCCTCTGATTTTAAGACCACAAAACACTTGTCCCACATTAAAAGTGACAAAGTCAGTCCTTCCCTACTTGAAAGCCAAACTACACACAAACAGAATGTTAATTGGCAAGAAGATAACCAGGGTGAGCACAAAACAGTTTTGTTATCAAGCCTAGTTGATACAACTACAATTTGGAGGCAAGACACACCACTGTGTATGCGTAGCATGCACAGCAATCCTCAGCAATCTGAGACTGGAGATAGTGAAATGGATTTTTAAAGTTCATAAGCTTCAAGTCTAGGCGGTTGTGACTCCCAGGCTATTCCACACTACTACTCTCCTGGTCTGGAGAAGAAACAGAACACAACAGCACAAAAGACCAACAAGGCACTAGAATTCAACACAGTTCCGTCACAGACACCTTTGGCTCCATAAAAAAATCATGAAATACTTATACATAAGTAAGCTTAAAAAAAACCAAACAACCCTATTTTTATACTAATTATTTTCTCTATAGCAAGAGCTAGCTGGGAAACAGTTTATTCTATCTTTGCCCAAATCAACAGGCAAAAAGTGCACAACACCAATAGCCACGCAACAGTGGCAAATACACCCAAAGCAGAACAAATCACCAGAGGACAGTGCCTTCAAACTTTAGCTTGCTCTTGTGTCTCTTTGAACTTGTCCCTGATTTTCAAATGATACAAAAAAAAAAAGAAAAAAAAAAAGCATATTCATAGATCAGATGCTACTAAGAAAAACAGCCTTAGAAAACCTCAGTGGAGCAAAAACTAACAGACAAAGAACAAGTCATAATGGCCAAGAGAAGATCTAACAGCTGGACTGCCGTACCAGGTTAGAAATACAATAGTGGTAAAATAAACACAGAAGGAAACAAGTTACAGCAGGAGCTTCCAGATGAAAATGCAAACCCCAAACACAGCTTAAAACTGAAGCATGCTAAAAAAAAAAATAAAAAAAAAAATCCCAGAACAAGAACAACAACAAAAAACAACTACCCCGGCACAAAACCACCAGCCAGCACAACCAAGAATTATACCGGCAAGTATTCCAGAAAGAACGAGCGGATCTACCAAAATAACCAAGATGACCACATCTAGGACCATACACAAACTTCTGGTCATTATATGCTGGAGGTGGAACTTCACAAGACTACCTGGACACAAATAAGATCAATGGAAGAACAAGCGGGTCTAGACTGAACTAAAATTTAAATTTCTCACTGATACAATACTTTAACCTCCAAGTCATCTAGCACAAAAAATCTTTGCTAAGTCTTCAACAATCCACTTGGCTCCTTCTGAAATCTCTCAGACAACCATACAGAACACTATCATTCCGTATGCTTCTATCAGTGTGACAGGTACCAAAAAAAGTCTTTTGATGCACACTCAGCATTTCCTTACCACTGAATTAATTTATTTATTCAGTTTTGTCTTGAGGCTGCTACAGGAGCTCACGTTCAAGAGACTGAACCAGGAGTAGAATCACATTCCTAGAGTCCAGCACGTATTTCAGGCTGACATTCTTCATCCTAACGTATGCAACTTCATGCTTCACAACACTGAGGCATGTTGCCCTGCTCTGCCAACTAAATACAGCCGTTTCACGCCTTTTTACACAACCTTTCAAAAACCCACATAAATAGCAAGTGAGGAGAAATCTGGAGACTTGCAGCAGAAAGAAGACAGAGATAGATTAATCTAGTAAAGAAACTGTAAGGCCATATGGTTGACAAGGAGAAAAACTGCTAAGTTGAACAGCTTGAAAAAATATTGCAAAAGGCTTTGAAGTGGCTGGAAGATAGAGATAGGGAAAGTATTTCAATTCGGCTGAAGGTACCTTCAGAGCATACAGTAGAATTAGTCCTCCTTTAAACTACCAATTCAAAAAAACCCAAAAATACAACAAAAAAATCAACCCACAAACACTAAAAACACAAACATAAAAAAACCCCACAAACATACACCAAAAAAAACCCCCACAAAACACCAAACATTAAAAATATAGTGACACAATTTCTTTGTGAAAGCAATTCCACTGAGTATACAGTGTCATTCGTAAACACAAGAGCAGGAAGAGGAAGCAAGAAATTTCTAGCAGCAGCCAAAGAAATAAAAACTATTTTACCGCTTCATATTGCAAGGGGAGGCAGACAGCTTCTAAACATAACTTCACTCCTGTTTTCAAACGCAATACCTGATGGAAAACGTGCTATTTCATAGATCTGACATGATTTCTTGCTCATTTGCGCTAGGAAAGCGATACGCAGGGTAAAAAGTGTGTGCTAGGACTGAGCTGGAATTCTGTTAGCTCAGGACTTTTAATGGTTATTTACAAGACTCCTAAAACAAGAGGACTAAGTTCCACAGAGTCATTGATACACTTTTCCTTCAGAAACAAAGTATACCTCCAATTCTGAAATTACTAGAGTAAGCATAATCCATTCCCTCTTAGGAAATCTTGTCAAGTAGTAAAAACAGTTTCAAACTACAACAAAAAACCATTGTGTTCCTCAGGGAGCAGCAAACTCAAACAGCAGTGGCTGAGCATATGCTGACTATACCACCCAGCGACTGTTATGGAGCGTAAGAACGCTTTTTTCTGACAGCTGGGGAAATGGGCGGAAGGATGCCAAACACGTGGAAAAGTATTTTCCCCTGGTGGGAGCCAGTGCCTCGAACAAGCAACAAGTGGTAAGGAAAACCCTTACGACAGAGAACCCACCACAGTCACCTTGCAGACACGTACTCCGGGAGCAGTGAGTGAGATGAACTCTCAGCTTTCCAAGGCCTCTGTTGGCACACAGGCAGCGATGCAGATGCTCACCATTCCTCTACCAACACCAGAGAGCTCTGCATCCCACTTGGTTCATGCCATCAAAACTCTGAATATGGAAAAACTTCCCCATGAGCTTTTAGGACTAAAGTGATGCAGCCAAAAGAAAGACTTCCAAATATAAAGTTCCTCATGGTCTTCGCCAAACTATTTCTCCTGCTGAGAAACAGAATACTGGAGCAAAATGCTTGCCTGAAATAGGATTTAGATTCAGAGTTACTCAACTCTTCCAAAATACACCTCAGCACAGAGCATTCACAGTTCCTGTTGACAGCAGGAGCAGCTAGGTCAACTCACATTCCTCAGTACTTCAAAATATAAGTTTATTAATAAAGCACCACAGCCTATCAACATTACAGACTTGCTTAGCCTCACAAAAGAGTTTTCAGGGTGATAGTCTCAATTCTCATTCTTAATGGCTTGCAACTCACTTCTTGATAATCAGCTTCGGTTGCCAGAAGGCATCAGTTTTTTCCTACAGACAAGAATCTCCCTATTTTTAGCTTCTGTAATACTTATACACTGTAACCTACCATGAACACCTCATCAGACACTCATACTCCTCTGGACTGGGAGCTCTGTATCTTCCCTCTGGCCACTCTTCTTCCTCTCTCACCAGTCTGTTTGGTTAATTGCTCACAGTTGCCCACCCAACAGTCCCTAGGAGTTTGTAGCACACCCATTAATCTGGAGTCTTACACATATAATAATGACATAACGCAACCTGTGTATGCACACCCATACCCATGGAAAGGCAAATCATGTCCCAATCCAGTAACAAGATTTCAATCCTACACTGCAGGTTAGTAAGTCTTTTAGTAGCTCACAGAAACAGTTAAAATATTGGCAATGTTGCACTGCAGTACAGACACCTAATCTTTCCAGAAAAAAATTTTAAGAGATCAACCCAGAATACACTCTAAGTCACAGAGTACACTTTCACTTGAGGTTTGCCTGCCAAGATACCTGGCAAATGAAAGAACATAGTTTAAAAAAGCAGCTATTTGTAAAAATTACACACAAAACCTTTATTAATGATGTATTGAATTCCTGCTCTCCAAGAGAAAAAAAAATCCATGCTGCTCCAAGATTAACTTATGTAAAAGACGCAACCTGAGATTAGTAAGAAGTCTTTGCACTCTTCTTTGCTAGACTTCATAGGGAATTGGAATTTAGACAGTGTATTCAAAACCAAATGAAATATGAAACTACCCTTAAGAATATAATGTCTTTAAAAAATTAAGGAGTCTCAATAAAACATGAGAACTAGCTGGAGAACATTCAAACATCAAGTATTTGTAGATTTACACGAAGATATACTAAAACAGGGAAGAAAACCAAGTAAACTTCAGAATTGGTTATGCCCGACGTGAAAGAAAAGCATAGAGCAATTATAAAAGCATTAGTGTGGAGCAATGCCAGTAATTCAAGAAACAGAAGCTGAGTTTAGCTTACTAAGAATATAGTAAGTAACCAAAAAAAAAAAAAAGCTTTGCTGCTTGTTTTTTAAACATAAGTCCCTTAAAATAGGTTAAAAGCTTTGTAAAATAGCCCTTGAAACAGCAGCAGAAAGAAAACCTAACATATACAAATGATCCAGTCTAGACTGCCACCAGCCCACTCACATTTGAAAGGGAGTGATGACACGCAACAGAGGAAGCACCAAAAAGTAGAAAAGTACCCCCAGACCAGCAACATTAATACCTACACTCATCCGTCCTTGGAAGAGTCTGAACGACAGGCTACTGGAAGCAGTACACCACAGCAGATGCATTGCTAATTATGCCGCCTTCTCACAAGGATTTTTTTTTTTTTTTTTTAACTCCTCCTACATGCATCTGCTGCTCCGCACACCAAAAAGCAAGCTACCGGACACACCTGGTCCAGATCCAGTACAGACTTCCTCATTATTTTCAACAGTACGAGTACAATTCATACACTGTTTTGGGGTTATCAAGGCAACTGCTGTACAATATTAGCAGCTTGAAGACATAAAAAGGCACAGAAAACATCACTCAACCTAACAGAAAAGTACTTGCTGCTTGTTATCATATGTCTGTGGAAGAATGAGTTCTCAACTTTTACCTCTTTCCATTTTAAACATAGGAAGAAGTTTGAAGCCTAATCTCTTTACCTGGCTTGCCACACATGAGACAGCCACATTTGGTGCAGAAAGGCGTCACACAAGTCCAGCAGGACTCGTGATAACCCAGAGACATTAAAGCACACCGCTTTCCGCAGAGACAGCCTTTGCCTCGGCCATGTAAAATGCTCCTTTTCATTCCATCAGCAGTTTGTGTGATGATCAACACACACCAACGTTCATCCTAAAGAGGAGGGGCAGTCCAGCTGCTTCTTCCCCTCTCTGCTTCCCAAACAGCATTTTTGAATGGTTACTATACATTTAACCAATAGGCTAAGTCAGGATGTGAAAGCCAGAGAGCAGAACTTGCCAAACCAATGCATTCAACTGCACAGCGAAGACATTATGTGGAATATACATGCTTAGTTCCTTAACTAAAGAGACAAGGGCAAAATAGCCAAGACAAAGGAACAGATAATCCTAGATGTGCGAGTTACTACAGTTCTTTCAGCCATCATTATAGAAGTCAAACAATTTCATGAGGTCTATGTTATAATAAGCATATCTTTATTTCTACACTATTAGAAAATATTTGTCTGCATACTGGCAACCATTTTCATTCAAATATTGCTAAAGCATTTACCTACCAGTGCTGCTGAAAAAAAAAGAAAATACCAAGACTCGGGAATGCTAGAGAGTTCCTTTTCAATTTTGCTTGATGTGGAAATGAAAGGTTATGATCTGGTCTTGCATGGCTACCTCGCTAGTACTGACCACCAACCAGCAGCCTATTATGTACGTGATATGAATGTTTCAATGTTTTTCACATTGTACTCTTACAGAAAGTTCGTTATAATCCTGTGAATGTTCCCCTGATCCATTTACCCAACGTTATCCCTCAGAAGTACAGAATCATTTCAAAACATATTTCTTGATCTATTAGATCAATTCTTCAAGTTTAACACTAGTAAGATCTTGATCTCAAATGAGACCACTCAGCACCAAGCTCTACAAGTTAACTGTAGCGTATAGAAAAGCATTTTACCAAATGGGCCTACAAAAGCCCTTCGGACTAGTAGAATCACAGGATTTTACTTCCTGTAAGTAGGACTGAATACAAGTGGTTCATCATTGCAAGCAACTTCCACTCTATACCATTCACTCTATACAGAGTCTCTCATCAATCCCCCATCCTATTCATCTCTTCTCTAAATTAGACATGAGAGAGATAATAGCTGTGTAATATTTAAAGGCTTCTAATTGTCACGGGCAGCAGGGGGGGTTGCTAAGCTATTTCTATACTCTTTTTAAGGAGGAACTACCAGAACTCGGTATTCACTACTGGCAGCTTTGGAAATATACTCCAAGATCCTTTTTGTTCCACAATGGTAGAAAATATTTTCAGTCTGCAGAGGTAGCTTTTTAAGTAGGCTAGCTCAACATAAATACATCTCTTGTATCCTAAGCACCGTAGAAACCTAAGCTTACACGACCTATTTGAAATGGGCTTTAAAACAATATTGTTGCTAAGACAATAAACCAGCAGCAGAACCACTGAAGAATATTTATGTTCAAGATCTTATCTCCTCTTTCAAAATACCCAAAACAAAGAAATCCACAATAGCCAGTAATAATTAGGCTTTCACAGAGAACACATGGTCACTAAAAATAAATGAACAAGCTTGACAAAACAGCAGAACTCATGAGAACATGCTTGCTTGCTTACTTTGCCAGGAACTGCTGTCCAGGCCATGTGCCATCCTCATTTTTCACTTCTATTAAAACAACCTGAAAGAGAGCAAAAGAGTTCAGGTAATAAAAGACAAAACTGCTACATATTTTGTAAAATTATTAACAAACCACATTTTTAATGTTTAGTCAAAGTGCATAAAAGCAAGTGAAAAAAGATTACGCATCAGAGAAAGCAGTACATGAGAAATCAAAAAAAATAAAGTCCAAACGTTATGCCCCTTACCTGACCCTGATAGAGCCCTGCATCCTGCACTGTGCTATCCAGCTTGCTGAGCTGCTCGTAAGTGTTACTCATATATCTGTTCCATAACCTGGATTCCTTCTCATCTGGGATATTAAACAGTTTTCTCATTTCTTTCTCGATGGTAGCTGTGCAGAAAGAAAAACACACCAAAATTCCTAAAACAGGAGAGTTTTTGGAAAAAAAAAACCCCACAAAAAAACCAACTGACAAGCTAGACATTCAGCAATGAGATACATGATGAATTCTTTGAGACCTTTTGAGTAGAAAATGTATCATTTAAGTTACAATTTCTGTGAAACAGTCATCATTTGAAAACACAGGTTCAAGAAGGAAGTGTTTTCAGTTACTATTGTTAGGCCGTACATCAGCAAACTGGAAAAAAAAAAAAAAGCATCTTTATGGACATGTATGACAGGTGACATTAATCTTTTTTACCTAGAAAAATGCAGCAAAGATACAGAGAAAGAGAATGACAGGCCAAATTTCAGGAAGACCAGATGTGTAGGAAGAGCCATTAGGATGTCTCAAATATTCACACACTATGAAGCAGAAATTGTAGGAAAACCAGTGAGAGAACTGCTTTACATGAGTGACACGGCTGTTTCCTAAGGACGTGAGTTAGTAAGCAACGTGCTACTCAAAGCTCAACTCCCTGTGTTACATGCAGAATCACTGCAGCTGGAAGAAACTCAGGAGGTCCCTAGTCCAACAACTCAAATCAAGGCCAACATGGAATTCAGCAACCAGGCTGCTTGACCAGGCTGCTTAGGACTTATCAATCAGGTGTTGAAAATTTGCAAGGCAGGAGATCCCCTTGTCCCTCTGGGCCCTGCTCAAATGTCTGGCTGTCCTAATAGGGAATATGTTTTCATTATATTCAACTGGAATCTGCCCTGTTTCAATTTATGACTACTGTCTGTTGTTTTCTTGGTTTTCGACTCAGTAACCTCCTCATCAGTGCTGCAAGGTGCCCCCCAAAGCCTTCTCCAGGCTAAGCGCAGCTCCCTCAGCCTCTTCTCACATATCCCACACTCCAAGCCCTGTTGGTACCCGCTAGACTTACTCCAGTTTATCAACATCGTCCTTGTTCTGGAGGACACAAAATATCTCTCGAGGCAGCACCAAAGCACAGCTTCCTGTATGGGAGAACTACTTACCAACAGTATCCGCTTTGCTAAAGTGGCAGCTGATTACATTGTCAGGATCACTGCTCTCGCACAACTTCAGCTCAAGAAGATAAACTTCCACCTTATAGTGCTTCACAAACAGACCATATTCCACTACCTGCAAACAGAAGCCAGATGCAATAAACAAAATAACACAAAGTTAAAATACGGAGCAGTACCTTACCTCCAGAAAGCTACATTTGTCTAAATATTTTAAGTCCTTAGGAGTCTTCGAAGCCAAGCTACAAACCGAACACTGACTTGCTCTCAAGTTCAGATTCAGTCACGACCTCTGCCAGCTTCTTTGGGGGTTTCTGTTTTGTTTTCAAAACCTAAGAAATCCAAGCGCTTTCCTTCCACAACACAAAGTTCCAAAGGTCCATCAGCACAGCTGAACTGACACTGCCAGCTAATCACTCATAAAAAAATATGTAATCACACAGTCAGAGCATTTTATCTTCTGCCTCTGGCCTTTGGCTAAAGTTTACACAAAAAAAAGAAACAACACTGGAACACGGAAGCAAAATCCTTTCAATTAGAAGAGAGTAAGACAAAACATTCATTCTTCTTCTGTATAGTAAACAGAATCTGTCTCACTAGTCTCTCCTTAAAAACAAACAAACAAAAAAATATGTCTGAACTGGTTTTGACAACAGAAAGAAAAGTAAAACTCACTAACTCCCTGTTTAAACAGCTTCTTGACAGGCAATTTTTTTTTCTTCTTTTCTAAAGAATGCAAAGTAACCAACTCACAAATTCTCTATTTCTTTTTCAGAAAGGATTTCATTAAATGGGACTTCCTGTTCTCCAGTATGCTATAGTTAGAAACAAATAAATAAGAACCATATTCAGAAATGCAAGAATTCTTTCCAAGAAGTAGCTCCTGATCAGATCGCCATGTCCGTTAGGACAGATGAATGGCGAGAAGAGTCTCTAATGGCCCGCAGACATTAAACAGCGTCTGTCAGCTCACTTGTTCTCTCTCAAAGTAAAACTCGGGTCGTGCTGTTGGACAGCAACTTGAGCAGAACACAGACTGTTTTACATTTTGCACATTAATACACTTTGCCTTTAGACTCTTCTATAGAAAACTGCCCAAAAGTATGGTTTGAGATTACCAAAAGAACTATGAATCACAAATGTCTCAAATCTTATCCTCCTGTACTTGTCTCTGGTCATCAGACACATAGGGATGGAAGAAACACCCATTTCTAATATTACCAAGATGCCTGAAAATTACTTCCCAAATCCTCTACTTTTATGGATATTTTGATGTATGAATTACAGTTGAATCAGCTTTAGGAAAAAGATTAAAACATTCAAGAAACACAAGTCTAAGTGCTTTACTTCCAATGCTATCTGGAGAATACTGCGACACTATTCCACTCAGGTGCACTGCTGCAGCTTGCAAGTTCCACTCACTTTTCACTTTATAGTAAGAGGCTTTAACATCCTACAAACGTATTGCTCTGCTACATTTCAACCTTTTTTCAAATGCAGGAGTCCACTTCATTCACCAGATTAACAACAAACAACAGAGACTGACACTCTCAAAGCAATTCAAGACATGCTATAATTCTTTTCCACTCCCCCTACTTCAGGTTTACATGTCTAACCAGCAGAGTGAATCTGGGATCATTTACACTTTCGGAAGATGTCAGAACTTCTCATTATTTCTAGACCACAGTGAATGTCAACTTCCCGGTACCATTAAACAGCATGAGTGGGCCTGAAAGACAGGGATCTTGCTGCCTTTTAGCATTCTGGTGCCACAGTTTCCTGGGTCTTGCACACTTTGAAGCAACCCTTACTGCAACATGTTACTTAGGCAATATTAGTTCTGTACATTATATCAACATAATTAGTTTTGTGTAGTGATCAGTCTTCATGAATCCCACAGACTGACACTGCTCAACTTAGTCAGCGTAAAACTCTTAAAACTAAAATAAAAAAAGAACTTTTACCCACAAACAAACGTCTGACAGATTTCAAAAGTGGATTTCACCTTCCAGAACAGGTTATATGGCCAAAATGCATTCATGACTGCATTTGCCAAACAAAAATAAGACTTAGAAAACAAAAGCACAAATTTATGTCTCCTCATGACTTCAGACTCATAGAATTTTGGAAAAGAAAACAATAACCATCTTAAACTTCAGAAGAAGTCCCTAAGCCATTTGTAGCAAAAGACAATCTATTTAAACGCCTCATTCAGCCCCAGATCTATAAGCCTAACAGCGTGCATTTTTCAACAAAGCACAAACTATTCCACGCAACATAAAAGCACTGCATCAGCCCAAACAATCATAACGTAGGAAGTTAACAAGAACAAGGTTCATGGTTCTCACCCCATATAACCCACCAACTGAGAATCACTGAATATTTGGGCATTTAATCTGCAGTACTGGGAGATCATTCTTCCAGACTGCAAGTCAAAAAGACCTCATGTTACTATCTCCAAAGAGCTGCTGGGGATCCTGTCTGATCTCACATCTAACAAAATAAATATCATCTAAGGTTAGTGGAGATCAGAAAATGAAACCAGACTGAAAAGAACTTAGCTCCTCCATACTTACTTTTCTCACAATAGGCTGCTGTCCATCTATGCAGCCGTACCACGTTACTAGTTTATTCCAGGCTTCAGTGGGAACCAATACGTAATCTAGCTCATCAATGAGGTGTTCTTTTAAAATTTGAGTTTCTGGATCTAAAAAGGAGACAGGCATAATAAAGCACAGCATCAAAGAGAAGCCTCTCCTCTCAAGACCTACACACGTCTCCAGGACGCTAAGAAATTCCCACACTCCCGCGGGTTGGTGGAAACCAGTCCTCTCACTTACAAGGCCGGGGCAGCTGCTTGCGCCCTCCCAGCACGCACGGCTTCAAAACCGAAAGCTGCAGGCCAGGGCGACCGCGCATGGGACTTATTCACCGGAGCCAGGGCCGTGACCCAGGCACCGGCCCCTCACCGCCCAGGCCCCGCCGGGCAGCACTCACCGCCGAACAGACCCGAGTTGTCGATAGGCCCCGGAAAGAGCCCGGGATCGCCCGCTCCAAACATGTCCCAGCTGTCGAAGCCCACGTACTTCTTCCACTGCTTGAACCAACGGCTGTCCACCAGGTACCTGCAACACACGGCACCGG